ATACATGATGATGATACATGATGATTATGATGAATGATGATAAAAACATAATGATAATGATGACGATGGTGATGGTGATGGTGACCAATGATGTTTTGTCGATGATGATGGTGATTACACTAATTTAAAAACTCACACAAATGAAAATAAGTAATTGCTTTAATCCATTCACCGCTTGGTTTACTTTTTGCCGGTAACTATTCACTGTTATAAAACGTATATTCAGATTTTCCTCCTTCCAAAAAAAAGTTCTAAATGCGTGATATATCCCTCACCTCTGTTCCGTAGAAAGTACATCCAGTTTTGTTCACCAAGTCTCTTTCACTTCGAATGTGGTCTGAGTCGGTCAGCTCACATGTAGCGGTGTTGTCTTGATCAACACAAAAGTTAATCCCAAAACACTGCGATTCTAGGAAGCATTTGGCACGACATAGTCTAGCGTCGGTGATTGGCTGAATGGAACGAATTGTGTGATTGGTTAATGCTTTGTTTTTGATAATGGCCATGAATCCCAAGTTTCGACAAGACCCTAAAATAACAGAAACATATCAATGATTTTGATTGGTTAAGATTAAATTTATTCAAATTAATGTCATCTCGTAAATCGGTTTCACTCGATAATGATTTCAACACAGGCAGCCACTCTCTTGTTTTTTGGTGTCGCGTTTGCAAATGTTAACGGTATAATATTTCGTAGCATTTTCTTTAGTAGGATGACTAAAAAAACGACAACTCCGTAAAAAACGCTCCAAACACGCTTCAAAATCAGCCACACAACAAAGGATACAGCACGTTATAATAAAAAATCATTTTTATTGATAAAAGTACCGATTTTACCACAGGTAGCCCAATCTTGGTTTCTGTGGTGTCCTGTTATAAGGGAATGTATGGAGATTCATCAAAAATTTCAATAAAATCATTGAAACGTAAAATAAAGCCTCGAAATTTTACCCGATCATTGAGAAATAGCACTTCTTTTGCTCTGCGTGGTTATTTTTTGAATTTAACCCCGTTTTAAGATTTTTTCTCCCCTTATTTCTTACTGGTGGAGGAAAAAAAGAAGCGCTATTTCTCAATGATCGGGTAAAATTTCGAGGCTATATTTCACGTTTCAATGATTTTATTGAAATTTTTGATGAATCTCCATACATTTCCTTATAGCAGGACACCACAGAAACCAAGCTTGGGCTACCTGTGATTTTACCAGCTGATCTGAGAAAAAATGTTAGCCCAATCAGAATCGAGAAAATTCGCAAAACTAATGAGGTGTCACTTGTCCTCTTGAAATTATTGATTTCCAGGCTGCCAAATTAAAAGGAAAAAAAGAAAAAGAAATTAAACAGTGGATCAATAATTACAGTCAAAACGGATCAAGGTTACCCCCAGCTAGGTTCGTTATTCGAATATTGAAATTCATTATTCTTTCTGAGAATACCAAGACTCAGGATATGAAATAATAACTGATTGAAACCTCGAAGTTTTCGAGTTTAAAAAAACGCACAAAACCTAAGGTCAGAGACGTAAATGTTCGAAAATATCCTGAAACTTTCCACAAAACACTCCCTAGCATCCTCTGGCAAGTAAAAAAGGATATATTTGGATTTCTTTGCGTAAAATTAGATAGATACTTTATTGCTTGATAAAACGGCTGAAATACGTTATACAAAAAAAATTAAATATTTAATAATTATAAATGTACAAAAAATTTATTTTGAAAATTATACGTCAAGACAAGACAATAAAATATTATATTATCAAAATTTGGAAATTATAAACTCTAGAAAATTTAATTATATACATGTTTAAAAGTTCATTAGAAGTCAAAGTTCACGCTATTAGCATTAACATTGTAAAATTATTCATAGAAGATCAAAATCCTGCCTTCTAATCCGCCATATTGAAATTATTTTCAGAAGAGCCTTCGGGAAATTTTGTCACCGTCTTTACGCGTAAATTTTTCTAAACCTAATAAAATGTTCTGAGTACCGAATACATTCCACCAATCACGAATCAGCGTTTAGCATAAATTAATTGAGAAGCTGGCGCATGCGCGGCTATTTGGACCAATCAGCATCGGGCAAAAAACGGCTGATACCAGAGCCTTTTCTGTCTTCAAAAATATAAGAAAGTATTTAGTGAATCGCGATACTTTCTAATATCTCTTGTCAAAATAAAATATTTTTTTGCCAACATCTTAATATGCTATGTTTGAAAGATGTTTGGTCAATCTTTTTACGAAAAATATTTACCTTCTTTATTTTTGAATAGAATATAATGTCGCTCTTTATTGAAAAATTAAGTTCGGATTCGTTCAATTCGTTCCTTCGGGTCATGAGAGAAGCGAAATCACCTGGTGATGTTCACGTCACTTGTTATGCATCGTTTCTTAGCTTATTTTTAAAGCATCAGCATGACTCAGGTTCGTTCTTTGAGTCGCACAGTTGGCAAGAA